AATTTTCCATTTTTTTTTCTTTAGATCACTCTTCCACGGAGCACTTGCACGTTCACACACGTTGCAGCATCGCGACATATCTAGAAAATCATAACGTTCTAACACTTTTTCATTATGTTTGTTTGCGAAAATGCGTTGTTCACACTCAAAGCATTGATTGTCGCATCTGTCGATAAATAGTTTTAGTGCAAGATCGCGATCACGAAACTCCATCCATATATTGTAAATAATCAGCAGTTCGACGCACTTTTCACTACCTGCAGGAATCTTAATGCAGATACACCTATCTTGGCTCTTATCTGCGATTTTCTTCGCCCATTAATAATGGTCCTTTATTATATTGACATTTATATTCCACCAATGTCTCTTTTCATATTCATCGTCCTCGTAACATTTGTCTCATAACCGTGGATACACTTTCTGTCGCGCGAGTAAAGACCAGTCAGAAACGGGCTCTCTGATAACTGTTTCATGTTTCTCACCACGTATACCTAATTCACATAGGAATTGCACTGGCGATATTCGTGCACCTATGTCTCCTTTTTGCAGATTACCGAGAACATACAACACATCATCTACGTTAGAGTCTTCCCACATATTTTTCAGTAGCGTCTCGCTCACAATATTGTTCACAATAGTTTTTCAATGTGTGCAATATGGGCACTTGTTGCATGGAAATATAGTGTACATTTGCATTCTACAATTCGTACAAGACCGGCCGCCTAGCGCATCAATATAATCGATATCGTGCTATCTTACAAAATACATTCCTACAACATCGGTGTCAGCCAAACGTATCATACATGTTGCATACACATTTAAGGCATCACCCGTTGTATAGTAGCACTGGATCATGCAGTGTTTAGTACTGCCGTTCAGTGCGCGTATTTCTGGAGACGGTACAAATTTTTCTGCGTGATCCGTATCGCGCTCGCTCAAGTCGCTAACATAACCGTTATCGTCGGATAGCACTTCTTCGTCGGAATCTTGGTCCATTACATATTTCTTCAAAATCTACATCCATTTCTTTTAACACTTCGAACACTTCATCTCTAATATTCGCGAACTGTTCCGGATCCACGTTTCTAATGTGTTCGACTACGTTGACTATGTCCTCAACGCTCGCACGATGATCAACCATACTTTTTTTCCACTATTCTTATTGCGACCGATTCGTTCGTCTTCCAGGGCACCAACTGCGGAACTGAGTGCTTATAACTCATTATATATTTCATTTGTGACTTCTTTGTCTCTTTGCCTATTGGGTCATACTTTACTTAGAAGTAGATAAGGCGGCATTGCGAGCGATTCTAGTTTATATAAACAGCATCAACGCTTCTTTTAACGCGTTGCTACATGTCATCGATCTCTCTCGCTATCTCTTCTCAGAAAAAAATCGTTATCGACACTTCTTCGAAGAAATTTAAGGGCAGTGTGATTTCATACTTTTCACTGGAGTATCACTTTCATTTTACTGTAGAAGAATTATGTTTTGCTTAGCAGCCAAACATCGGCGCTTCTCTTAACGCGTCGCGATGGGACATCGACCTGATAGTATATATAAACAGTGTATATAACTTTTTTCTTTCAATCGTAAATTTCAATTATGAGTGATAAGGCATGGATCGTGTAAAAGAATATATACATCGAAAATCGATCGAGCGCAGGGGGTACCGTCCCTTGTCACCAGGTCCGCCAAGTGCACCACCACCATCGAGGGAAAAAGCGAGATATTGGGAATGTCCAGGTGAAAAAGCATCAAAATCGCCAACATGTTCCTTATCGACATCATCAAAATCGCCAACATGTTCATCATCAACGTCATCAATGCCATCAAGTATAACCCATAGCTAGCCATGTTCGAGCCGTCGATTGCATTCGAACGCTGTCGATCGCGAAAAAAATGTAATAAAATATGAGAAAAAACATGATGTAATAAGAGGCGAATAAAAAATTTTCATCATTTTATATATGTACTTTATTTTACTCTCTATCCATCCTATGCCTCGACGCGCTAATAAAAAACCGTATTGAAAAAAAATGTGTCATAAAAAATGTCAGATAATAATTGTGTCATGTAAAGCGTCGTGCACGCTCTATCTTTCTCTAACGTGCGAACCCTTGTTATCTACGCATTTTTGGGGTGGACGCGGAGACCGTAGCAGCGATGGCGGCGGCGGCGACGGATGAAAAAAAAAGAAATGCATTGTTTATGTAATCAACCGACCTGGGTCCTATTACAGCGATGCCGCCGGGACTTCCCACGCCAACAAGTACCGCGCCCCTCGCGCCAACGAGTACCCCCCCGCGCCTCGCGCCCCCGCGCCAACGAGTACCCCCCGGCGCCCCGCGCTCCCCTCTAGCCCCATAGATTAGAACCGGCCTTATACAGCTACTAATTTCCATACAATTATTAATCAAATATTTGCTTAATGTAACCAAAAATAGTATTACTTTTAAAAATATTTAATAAATATTACCGAATGATAATAGTTTGATAATATTTATTAAATATTTGTAAAAATAGCATCATTTTTAGTTATATAAACCAAACATCCAATTGGCATTATTTTACCATTTAATAACTATTCCTCGACTTGGAGGGATCTACCACGACTAAAAAAATATATAGTGATTGCTAATTATGACAATACATTTTATTACTATACAATTTTATTACTATTGCATTATTAATATTATTTTCTTATGTGTTGCTATCTATTTCGCACAATATTGTCAAGTATTGTCAATGTATTGTTATCCCGTTGCGTAGAAACAGATGATTTTACTATTACAATTATCATTAAAAAAATTATTGAAAATAAATGGCGTTTTTAATAGTATTTTATAACAAGCTGAATGAGTTCTTGCCAATAATAATATTTTATCACTGAGGATTTTATCACTGGCTAGTAATGTTTTTAATGGTACATTAATTTTATAATTTTATAATTTTAATTTTTAATATTTATTCAAGTAGTAAAATCAATCCATAGTGATAATGCCGTTGAGTCCGTATAATTTTGTCATTAGTTCAAATAATTTTACTATTAATCTGAATGATGATTATCACTGACACACTTTTCGCGACGGGTTTTACTGCTAGCATATTATTAGCACATTGTTAGTACTGCTATTGTTAGGACTGCCTGTTTTATTACTGTACTGTCGCAAAATTCTAAAGAAATGTACACTGATTGCCGTAATAGTTGATCCCTCGCCAGACTCTTTTTTTCAGTGTGATAAACATCCTAATAAACGACTGTACATATTTTTTCGAAAAACTATCGTGTCTAATAAGTCAATAAAATGGTCTCGAAACTTTGTGAAATTAGAATGTTAATATTATCAATATTGTTTACTTTTAAATATTAATACGCAGAATAAAATATCTTATTGCAATGTAGATTGAGGACCTGTGTGAAGTTAGGCGAAAAAAACTTAAGAAATACAAATTAACATACCTGCTTATTTAATATGATAAATATCTGAAGTAAATTTAGTTCAAACTTCGCAACATATTGGAATGCCGCGAAGATGCATCTTTTTAGAATAGTTGGCATTACTAGTACCAACAGTTATAGAAATATAAAGAGTGCTCATATTACCTGCAGTGCTCATAATCCTATTCTGTATTACGTCGATCACACAATGATTAATGAGCATTTTATATAAATCAATATGGCGACTTCATGATTGATGCTTATTGGTTTAGCAGTCTTATTTTATGCTTATATTATACTGTACTACGTATTAATGATTTTCATGTAAATTATATGCGATTATGGCTTAATAGTTATTTTCCTTTACTGCTAATTTCTAAAATGAATAACAAAAAGAATATATCCCGAATATGTTAAAAAATCGACTGGATACTCCCGAACTCCCGAAAAAAAGTACAAGTCGGAGAAAAGCCGAACGTATAGTAATTCTGTAAAAGACACATGGTCTTATGATGAAAATCGTCACTCTCCGTGAGCTGCATATAATTTTTAGAACTCTCTCTTATAATTACAATGTATGTTATATTTGCAAAGTTATTTTTAATCCTCAATTACATATCCCATTTTAGAGTCTTAATTTACATGTCTGGACCCAAGTCACTCACAGCGTTTTTGACAAACTCTGTAATTATCACAAATCTCAATGAAAAATTTTTTTTTAATAAAATGCCAGAATGTATAAAATCAAGATATCAAAACATAAAAAGATTTTGATAATAATTGAAAAAGTTATGCCAAAAATATTAAAGTACAATTTTTGAAAAGAACTCAATAACTAGTTTTTTTTTAAATCGTATCTTTATGATGAAAAAAGATACAAATAAAAATACATAATGTTTTGAAAAGAAGTAAACGGAAATTTTAAGAAAAAAAACGCGTTATATTAATTCATCCCAAAAAGCATTTCAATAATTTGCACGACTGAAGTGGGGGCATTTTTATACATGCTCGGGAAAAAGATACTGAAAGTATGTCGAGTACTTTGTTCTTAAAAAAATGCAATAAAAATATATTATATTAAATATGTAATGAGTGTGACATTATTTACTCACGATTTTATAATTTTAAGAAAATAGAGTGATTATTTCACCAAGACACCTATCTCCCAAAATTCTTTTTTTCACAATATCTTAATTATAAGAAATGTTTCAATTAAAAGAAGACAACATATATACTTAAATACAGCACTAAAAAAGACACTTATTAAAAACAAATTTTTACTTTCAGCAAAAATTAAATTTACATTTGTCGGATTTACACTTGTCTAATTATAAGTCACTCAACCCAAGTTTTTATTGCATTACAGCAATTGATAGCGAAAGCTTTTTAACCCCTTACTTCAACTCAGCAATATTAACTATACAAAAATAGTAGCAAACTAAACTTTTCACCTGGATTCAAATGACCCACTTATGTAGTTGAGAATTAATTATAATTATATATTCATACGTATGGTAAAATGAACAAATTAATTAACCAAGCCGTAACAATTTTTAGATTGATAATAATGAACAACATGGATGATGTAAAACACATAAAGGAGTACATAGAGGATATACGCAAGATAGTACAACAATTGGAACGCATGGAGCAGAAAGCCAAGTGGATAAATGCTGAAGAGGCATTGTTTCAATTTCCTTTAACCTTGTACCCACGTATTAAGGAATTGAGAGACCATATTTCACCATTTTATGCCCTTATTTATCGAGGCTATCAATGGCAAAGGGATCGAAGAGTTTGGTTGGATGGTCCCTTCGAGTATCTTGACGTTCAATACATTGAAAACAACCTTGATCAATACTTAATCGACTTCAACAACATCAATAAACAGTACAAGACAAGAATTAAGATGCAACTCGCGATTAATTATCCATACAGGTTAGAAAATGATACAATTTATTGTAAACTAATTTTAACTTGTAAATTACTTGTGAATAACTGAAACTATATTTTTTATACAAAAATGTCATTATTTGACAATAGTAGATATATATATACCGATTCTAACTTAAGTCTTTCGAGAGGGGTGAGGGGCGGGGAAATCTCGTAGCACGGGGAGAAGAGGGAGTGACGTCACGCGGGTGGGAGAAAATGATGTCACTGGATGCGGGATGTGCGGGAGATGACGTCACGGGAATGACATCATAGGGCGCGGAGGGTCCGCGATGAGAGGAGGAGATGATCTTGCTGGAAGTAGGGTGGGAGATGACGTCACGAGAAATTCCACTATTGGGGTTTATGATAAGAGGAGGGCATGACGTCACTGGTTGCAGAATGTGTGAAATTACGTAGTGGGAAATTACGGGTCATAGCGCGCAAGGAAATTACGGGTGCGAAGTCCGCATCGCGGCGTGCGGTCGCGCGTTATACTTATTATTTTATACTTACCATGTATATTTACTTTGTATATTTACTTTCTTCTTCCCCGATGCGTTTCCTTCTTCTCGTATGTACGTAGACTGCTGGAAAAGTTTCTGCAAACAATATGAAAAAAAACAATGTAAAATTCGGTAAATGGCTTTATTGTTTTTCGAAGTTATTCGCCTTTAAAATCGATACATTTTTGCATACGCTTGAACCAATTTTCGAAGCATTTTTTCCACTCTAAGGCTGTAACCTCAGAAATCAGTGTACGAAATGTTTCAACAGCTGCTTCAGGCGACTCAAATTGCTCACCACGCATCTTATTTTTAATGTTTGGGAACAAAAATAAGTCATTAGGTGATAAATCAGGTAAATACGGACAATGAGTCACCAATTTGATATTATTACTGGATAAAAAAATCAACGGTTTGACGTGCTGTGTGACAGCTGGCGTTGTCATGATGAAGGATGATGCGACGATTTCGATTTGTTCTACGCAATTCATTTATGACTTCTGGCAAACAAATTGTTGTATACCAATCAGTATTTACAGTTCTTCGATCCTCTAAATTTACGTGTATTACTCAAGAGAAGGAAGTGCAAGGAATTTATTGAGGATTCCACATATCGAAGATTGCTCACAACGGATGGCAATATTTCTAGGGCTTATGGATTAATAAAAATTTATAAAGCTGATAACCCTTTGAGAGTGATTGTATCTTGGTAAACAGTCCACTGTATAACCTTTCATTACTTATATAACATTATCAAAAATAGCAAAAATGCTCCAAGTCACATTAAAGATAGCTTTCATGTTTTGTTTAACATATTAAATGGCAAACAATTAAAATCTAACTATGTTTTGACTTCTTTTGATGTTGTGTCTCTCTTTACAAATATACCTATTAATTTAGCAATCAATAACATTAAAAACAGTAAAAAAAGATGGGATCATATGAGGATAAACATTTCTAAAGAAGAATTTATTATTGCAGTCAATTTTATATTAAATTTTATATTAAATTTAACCTTTTATTTAATCAAAAATTTATAAACAAGTATTTGGCATTTCAATGGGTTCACCGTTATTGCCCATAATTGCAGACATTGTAATGCAAGATTTTGAAAAAGTGGCGCTCACAAAATTACAAACCACCACTGTTTTATTTCCGATATGTTGATGACATCTTTCTTGCACTTCCATCGGATACGATCATAAGTACACTGAGCATTTTCAATTCTTTACACACAAGATTACAGTTTACTATAGAGATCTGTTAACGACAGAATATATTTTTTTGATACAACATTATCATTGATAATCAGAGAATTAGTGATATATATCACAAAGAGAGAGAGAGAGAGAGAGAGAGAGAGAGAGAGAGAGAGAGAGAGAGAGAGCAACATTTTCTAGCAGGTTCCTCAATTTCTATTCGAATCATCCTTTTTGTCAGAAAAGAGACAAGACAATTATTAGTTCTTTAGAAAATATTCTGTCACACCGCTTTCAACAAAAAAATTTAATTGACGCAATTCCTACTTTTCTTGAAAATGGTTATCCTCTTTCTTTTATTTTTTCTACAACAGAAAAAAGATTAAAATTTCATACATTGAATAAAAATACTACATATAATTTACAAATTAAAGAAAAATATTTTAGAATTCCCTATGTACATTTTATCTCAGAAAGTTTTCTACCTATCTCTAACATATTTCATTGTAAACTAGCATTCACCATCACCAATACCTTAAAAAATTTTATTAAGAGAGGTAAGGATTGGAATTGCTTTCGAATCAAAATGTATATAAGATCTCATGTGATGATTATGAAGCCAGCTATATTAGCCAAACAAAGAGAAAACTGAGTTACTAAATTGCGTGAACACATTTCGGGTATCAATAAAAAGAGATTCTCCATCTTTTTATATCCGATCATCGCATTAATTTTAATATCATAATTTTAGATGGAATGATGTAAAGACGTGAGTCTTCTTTTAGACAGTGAGTCTTTTTATAACAAAAGATCGATATCTGAAATGATTTATATTAAAAGACAGAGACAAGATTTAAATAAACAAAATGATACTGATTCATTACCAGAACCCTATTCACAAATCATATAATGCCTTTCTCCCTTATAATTCTCTTTCTTTTTTCTCTATACATCTTCCCTTCTATGTTCCTTCTATCTATCCCCCCTCTTTAATCTCGCTTCCCACTATTTCCTAACATTAACTTACTTTCCTTCTCTGAAAATTTAATTTATTTTGTCTAACAACGTCGAAGAGATAAGAGACATCAATCTGTCTCTCATCGCATTGTCTATTGCACTTTTTTCATATTATTTAATTTTTTTGGACTGAACTCTCAACTACAATAAAGAAAGGTATTTTTCTTATTTAATTTTTATTAAATATGAATTTATGTATTTATTTATGTTAATTATTTTAATTGAATACATAGATTTATATTGTACATTTTTAACTTTTACTTATATTCATATCAATATTGTATTGTCTCATCAGATTTTTCTGTCATTCTTATAATCTTACATTATTATATTTATAGCTGTAATGCATTATATTTTGTTCTGGACACCAATGTATAATCATACTCCGACGTTCTTTTGCTGTACAATTTTACTAACAAGACGAAGATCCTTTAATTATTGATACCAACAGTCATTAGATGTCTTAACATTGCGAAATATATTTTCATTTGCCATTGACCATCTATAGTATGAGTTTTTTGTCAGTTTTCTGACAAGTTCTAATGTATATATTTTGTGTATGTGTTATGTCCAAGCTCTGATCATATGTATGGATAGGTTTAGAGAAAGAAGGAATAAGAAGGATGGAGTATATGAAGGACGTTAGAGCAGACGCTTTGTCTTACATGCATCTGCAGAAAAGGAATGGAGCGATTCGAACGCACCTTTTATAGCTCTGGAAAATGGATTAACGTCCTGAAGGGACGCTATAACACCTGTTTCCAACGAGTAATGCGAACGTCGGTCCGAATTTTGAGTCAAGGAACTTAACCCTTATAACTCGAGACCGGACCATATGCGATCTCTGACGAGGGGTGGAAGTAGGTACGAGGTCTTACGATGCTAAAATAAATACAGATTGAGGCATGTCATATTAAAAGTGTAGTTTATTATTAACTTAAAGATTAGTACTACATAATGTAGGAACTGAGGTGAACGCAACAAGGAACCGAATTGTTAGACCGATTTGGTCGTGTCCGGGCTCCGGACCGCAAGGGAGCCGTGAGGAAGGATCGACGCAAATCGGGAGGCGCTTCGCTTCGTCCTGAGGCTCCTAACGAGCCGGGGATCGAACGGAGGACGAAGCGGAAACCTCTGCTCGTGCTCCGCGAAACGGACACATGAGTCGGACGTACTTCGAAAAAGGGCCCAAACTGGGTCAGTGTGCCGAGAGGGGGCGCACTTTAATGCCAGCTGCGCCAGTACGGCCGTATGCCCTGACTTTCGGTCATGGAACTTAATCCGAGTGACCGGGGAGAAGGCGAAGTGCAATCGCGAGAGAACCGAATAATACGAGGAGAGATATTGTTTAAATAAAGACTACCGGGAAGTTAATTTTATAATGATATAATTAAGGAGAAAAAAAACTGGAATGATACATTTTGAATATAAATATAATTTTATCAGATTAAAAACAATAATACAATTTTTGGTTTTCTTGATTATATGTACACGTTTATCGATATGTGTGTGTGTGTGTGTGTGTGTGTGTGTGTGTGTGCGTGCGTGCGTGCGTGCGTGCGTGTGTGTGTGTCTGTATGTGTGTGTGGTGTCATAGGAGAATGGAAGGGAGGAGAAAATGACGAGAGAATAACGAGAGTATAAATAGGGAAAGAGGTGAGTAGATTTGAGAGGAAGAAAAGAGGGGAGGTGCTATTAGTACTGGCTAGGATCATAGAGATTGAGGGAGAAAAGGTCGAGGGGGACAAGGGACGCTATCGGAATCGAGAAAAGGCTGTCGGATCCTGCGATCCTCACGACTACCAAATCTTGGTTGGAGGGGGTAAAGTGTGCCATGTACTCTAGGAGTTCCTGGGCATCATGGAAAAGAAGAGGAAAGGGGGCAGCGGGAGAGTAGTCATTATGTGGGATTGAGGGGGTGGTATCAATTGGAGGGGGTGATGGTGGATGCGGGAGGAAATCAGCAGGGGAAATCGGGGATGGATTTGATATTGGGAAATATGAAATTTCGAGGGGTGGAGAGAGGGTTGCCAAGGGGAATTGTATGAAGGGAGTTGGTTCCGAGAGTGTCGGTTGGCTTAAGTGAGAAATCCGGGCGCGGGCGGCGAATCGGCGCGATCGGGTGGTTCTCGTCAGGCGGCGGCGACGAGGGGCGAATGGACGGCGTGAACGCACTAAAAAATTTTATTTTTAATGGGTCCTCAAAGAGAAAAAAAAAGGGGAAGACGTGGAGCGACCACTTGATATAAAATAATAATTGCAAACTTACTGGCGATGAAGGCCC